AAGATAAGGTAGCAGAAAACACCCAATCAGAACAGAAAAATAAAATCCAAAAAAAACCCCAAAACTGATGCGACCCACACACCAACCGAGCACTCCTGACTCGTCAATCAGGAGCCTACCGAAAGGGTACCTGAGAGGACTGGGTGGGCGACTGGAAAAGAAAGAGACTAGAGACGAAAGCTGGGAACAGGAGGTCCACCCAATGCTGATAGCAGAGAGTGGCCCCGTTTATTGTTTACACGCAGCTTTTATAGCAAAAGTAACTTTCCTTAGGTAGCGGGGTTTTGGGAACTTGAAGGAATAGTCCCCCCCTCCCAGGGAACACCTCCCCTGGGGCTTTCCATAGGGTGTAGGGAAGCAATCTTCCCAGAGTGAAGCAAAACACAGCAGCAGAAACTGTTAACAGGATGGCATTCCACTCTGTAGCTTTCAAGGCCATTGGCTGTTTTCTCTCAGCGGCTAACCTTCCCACGCTGTTCACCCAGGCCTCAGAGCCTGTCAGCCTGCCAGCTTTCAGGCTTAACCCTTACTGCAGACCTCCAGCTCCCTACATCTCCCCCTTTTTTATTTATTACTTAAAGGCAGACCTCTGATTTACTGAGGCTGTGGTTGGCCTCACGGCGGCTGTGTCTGGCTTAGGTTGTACCCCTTGAGGAATGGAATTTTACCCATCATGGGCTAACCAGCCATCTTACGGCTGGTGCCTTTCTTAGGTTGTTCCTTCCTGGGGGATCTGACCCATCATTGACTAACCAGCCATCTTATAGCTGGCCCTCTACGACTGGCGCCTGCCTTAGGTCGTCCCTCTCCTAGGGAACTTACCCGTCTTTGGCTAACCAGCCATTCTGTGGGGCCAAGCCTCGCAGGGCCAAACCTGGAGGTGGAGATGGAGTATAACTACTGGACACAAAGAAGATTAACTAGAGGGTGAGTAGTGGAGCCATATGGAGAATTAATGCTGTCGTGGACAGGGGTGTTTCATCTCCATCATGAGTCTTGTGTGATGAGCCTGTAGACTGATAGCCTGAAGGCGAGATTTTAAAACTGCTTGATGAACTGAAATAAAGCATACTATTAGAAGCAAGAGAACTACAATCCCTACTAAGGTCCAGGTGATAATCTGGACAATAGAAATTAGTTTAAACTTGTTAAACGTGTTAATCATATCTTTAGCTAGATCTTTTGGGTTAGTAATGTCCAGTTTGCTATCCTGTATAGTAACAATTTTTTTGTGAAGCAAGTCAAGATCGATACTAAGATTTGTACTATGCCAAATGCCCTGAAGGTGATTAAAAATGATTGTCCAATTCCACTGGGTACAGTTATATTTATAACGAGTGATGCAAATCCCCTGATACTTAGCATGACATCGGAGGGCAAGATGGTGGCATATGGTCTCAACCTCATTACCTATCTGAAGAACAGCGTCCTCCAATGCACTGAGGCAGAGCGCAATTTTTGTATCTATGTCTTCTTGAATATAAAGTGCTGAAGAAGCATTTTGAGCAAGCTGTTCAACATAATCTGCTGTTTTGATAGAATTGGTTAAAGATACAGTGGCTGTAATTGCCGTGGCTATGATAGAAATAACTGCTGCAAGGCCTGCTATCATGAGTCCGACTACCCGTCGTTCTTGGCTTAAACCCTTGTTTATTTCCTCAAGGGCTTGTATCCCTGGGTTATCATACAAGGGTCCCTCAATAGTGGTGAGAATGACAACATAAAGTGGTTGATGAAAGACTAGAATAGACTGTCCTTTGCCTCTTGGATCAATTCAGTTGGTGAGATGGCAATTTGGACAGGAAATATTAAACATAGACTGACCCTTACTAATCTGTATCCCTCCAACCAAGATGACATTGGGGGCTTGGACACAGGCAGTAACGGCGTACTGCTTTCCATCCTGGCCCCAGGTCGTTTGGGAGTTAAGGTGAGTTATACAATCTGAGGCTGCCTATAGCCTCCAGATGTCCCTTTGGATAATGGGTATGTTTGTGGTCAGTATAGGGGCAACGAACCATTCTGGTTTGGGGAGCTGTGTCCCTGTACTATAATAAGGGATGGACCAATCAAAGACACTGAGGTGGGAGTCTGGTAACCGACAGCCTGTAGCTGTCGGATAGGCACAATCTCTCCATATGATATGACCGTCACTGTTTTGGTAGGGGCTTTTGGGTGCACAGAGGGAGCAGACTCTGTCCGCCTGCTTCTTGGGGCTGGTCTCCTGACGGTCCTTTAAAAGTTAACTCTGATCTGTATTTTAGGCATGGATTCTGTCTGTCTTTCCCTGAACCTGTTTTTGTTATGTTTTCCAAATGGAGGCATCCCATCATGGGTGTTTGGGAGGCACAAAATGGAGGAAGCCGGGAGAGACCAATATAGATAAAGGCTTTCCATTGAAAGGTTATATTTTTTTGTCCTGCCTCCAAGTGGGATGGGAGAATTAACTCAAACTAGGACTCGCTTGTCTTCCCACGTTACGGGAGCAAGCGTTGCGGGGTTTGGGATGTATATCCAATACATATCCCCCTGTGTTATACTTACCTGCCAGGTCAGAATAACCAGTATTGTAATCAGGAATTTATTAACCTGTTTCCAGGTCTGGGCCAATCTCTTCTTTGGCCTCCTGGACTGTTGGCTCTCTGGTTTCCCCATGATGCTGTTTGACTAGGCATTCCGGAAGCCACCGAGGACCATCCGCTGTCTTAGGAAAACCACAAACATGTCCTTTCCCCCACACCAGGACTGGATCTGGTCCATGCCAACTACCCGTTAGGGGGTCTTTCCAGCGGACGAGAGCCTCTGCAGCAAGACTGAGATTCCAGAAACGGTCCACTGCAGAGTGACCTTGAGCATCCGTTTGTAAAAAATTTAAAGTGAAAAGTGCATGGTTTAGTTGGTTGTATACTGAATTCCCATAGTCTCCCCCTTTTTGTTTCAATAATTGATTTTTGAGTGAACGATGAGCACACTCAATAATTCCCTGACCCTGTGGGTTATATGGGATACCTGTGAGGTGTTGGATCTGAAAAGTTAAGCAAAAATTTTGAAAGGCCTTGCTAGTATAGCCAGGCTCATTATCAGTCTTTATGACTTTTGGGATGCCCATAGTGGCAAATGCCTGGAAACAATGACTGATGATATGTTTCATTGCCTCACCAGAACGTGCTATGGCAAATAAGAACCCAGACTTAGTGTCAATAGTGGTATGAACATAGGAGTATTTTTAAAACTAGGGATATGAGTAACATCCATCTGCCAGATGTGATTTGAAAGTAACCCTCAGGGGTTAACTCCTAAATGTGGTTCAGGAAGCAAAGTTATACAGCTGGTACACTGTTTAACTATCTGTTTAGCCTGTTCTCGGGTGATCTAAAACTGATGTCTTAGTGCCCGAGCATTTTGGTGTTGGAGAACATGAGACTGTATGGCCTTTTCCATAGGGCTTGTAGGTGTGGTGAAAAAAGCCTGGATTGAGAGACCTAGCGGTTGAGTAGCCGCATCTGCAGCTTTGAGGGGATGTGTGCATCCATATGTTCATTGCAGCATTGTTTCAATGGCCAAGATGTGGAGGCAGCCTGGGTGTCCATCGATGGAACAATGGAGAAAGGGGAGGTGGTACATATATACAATGGAATATTGCTCTGCCATGGAAGAGAATGGGTTCTTGCCATTTGGGGTGGCATGAATGGACCTGGAGGGAGTTGTGCTGAGTGCAGTGACAGAGAAGGACAGATGCAGTGTGAAGTCACTTGTGTGTGGAATCTAAAGAATAAAATCAACAAAAACAGAAACAAACTCATAGATACAGAGAACATTGTGATGGTTGCCAGATGGGAGGGGGGTTGGGGATGAGTGAAAAAGGGGAAGGGATTAAGAAGTACAAATTGGTTGTTACACAGTAATCTTGGGGTTTTAGGGTATAGCCTAAGGAATATAGTCAATAATATTGCAATATTAATAACTATGTATTTTGTCATATTGGTACTAGGTTTGTTGGGGTGATGGATGGGAGGGGGTTGGGGGCAGGGTGTGGTTGTTACACAGTAGTCATGGTGATGGTTATAGCATAAGAAATATAGTCAAGGGCTGGCCGAGTGGCGCGATGGTTAAGAACTGGCTTGGGACGCCAGAGGGCCCTGGTTTGGATCCCACATATGAGGGCCAGTGACACTGCCTTCCACAGCTAAGATGCTGAACAACAGCTCAACCTGGAGCTGGGCTGCTGGGAGTCGCCGGCGACGGCTGCAGACCCTGCTGTGGTGGGTTGCCATGGGCTACCGTATATAGCCAGCAGCCAGCGTGAGTGGCCAGCAGCCGCAGTGAGCGGCCGTCCGGAAGCCGGCGACTGATCTGCCTCGCCCAGGAAGAGCGCAATGATGGTGCCAACTTGGGCCAGTGAAGCAACGTCCTTCACAACTAGACTGAAAAACAAAGCAACAGCAACTTGTCTGTTCCCCTTCCCCCAATTCCCTAGCACTGTTCCCATCCCTCCAATTCCCCAATTAAAAAAAAAAATTAAAAAAAAAATATATATAGTCAATATTGTAATAACTATGTGTGATGTCAGATGGGCACTAGTCAGGGGGATCACCTCTTAAATTATATAAATGTTTAACCATATGCTGTACACCTGAAATTAATATAAAATAATATTGAATGTCAAAATAAATAGTAAATAAATGTAAAAACAATTAATTGGGGCCTGAAATAAGTGACTACAGGTTAAAAAAAAAAAAGTTCCTTAGCATCTTCTCTACTCTTTCTATTTTGCATCAGTCTGTTATTTACAAAATTCACATACCTGTCGACAGTCAGTCATCACAGGAATGACCCCGATAGGCTCTTGATTACTTGTCCCCTGGACACCTGGAGATCTGGTCTGTGTTTCGCTTCAGGTGTCCTCGGCAGGGACAAGGAGGAATTCGCTTACACTATCACAGAGCCCTCCCCAGACATTCAGAGTGACACAGGCTCCTGAGCCAGTTCTTCTCCAGGTGTAGTAGTCCTTGTCATAATTTATTGTTTCATCTTTGTTTTAATAACAATTTCTGTAGTTTACTTCTCAAATTTTTTCCTGGTTCTTTCAATGCCCAACTAAATTCAAAATTAGATACAGAACCATATTAATCAGCTGGCCAAAGCTCAGCTTAAATCAATGCCTTGTCGAGTTTTATTTTATTTCTACCAGAAGAGTATTTTGTTTTTGTTACACCACTATAATTCCAATAGAGTCACTTAAGAAAAATCTATCCATCAAATCTTGGGTGTTTTTCAAACGAGAGTCCAAAACTGGATACAGTATGAACATTCGGTAAATCTCTTGTCTACCGAAGATTACAAAATTATTTTATTTAGTGGAAACACTTGGTAATGGATCATATGAAAATTAAAAAGTAAAATTAGCAAAGTGAAATAAGAGTTTCAGAAAATAAATTAACAACCCATTAATTACTACATACTTTCTTATTTTTAAAAGTAATATGCATTTGGTGTTCAAAATTATGAAAATATCAAGAAGTATGAAGAGAAACATAAGAATCATCAATCAGGATGCTACCAGTTACCACTCTAGCATTTTTCCTTATTTTTTTACATATATAAAAAATGTATTGAAATATGCATGTTTAACTTTATATTTTTTCTAAACTGACATTTTACCACAAATATTTTCCCTAACATTAAAATCTCTAACAAAATTTTAATCACAGTATTCTATCCCATCATGTGTATCCATTCCCCTATTACTGATCATGTAAGTCGTATCCAGTCTTTTCTAATATAATACTGGGATGAACACGTTTATACATATCTGTCCCAATTTTTTATTATGAATAATTATTTATTATGAATAATTTTTTTTATTATGAATCCTTGGAAATGTAATCACCCAGCCTAGGAGAATGAATGTTTGCTAAAAATTGTTTTCCAGAAATGCTGTACCTTATACCCTGGAGAGTGTTTGTGGGTGCCTGCTTCACCGCGGCGGTGGCCCCGGTAGTGACGTCACCAGATGACGTCATCAGGTCGACCCCTCGTGACTGGCTGGCTGGTGAGTGCGGGGCTCATCTTGTGTCGCGGGCCCGAAGTTCTCGGACTCCCTGTCCAGGTACTCGTTTCTTCCGGGGCCAATCCAAAGCACCAGGGTGGAGATTGGGGAACGCCTGCCGCGCCTGAAACTGCACGTCGCTTGGTACCGCAGTCTACGCCTGCTGGGGCACTCGGTGTTCCGGCATTGGTTTTCTGGTGCCAGTTTGCTAAAGTGACCTTAACATACCACTTAAGCATCTTAAATTGTTAAAGTAACTGCAAAGGTAGCTTTCCAATATTGCCTTCATGAGATACATGGTTCTGTTGCATACTCTCATTTCAAAAGGCAGTTGTTAGTTCTTTGCCACTTGGGGTGTTGAAGTTTCATTTCGTTCGTTTTGTATATTGTCCATCCTGAGTTCCGTGAAGATGGTGATTCTGTGTGTTCTGCAGCGAGCCTGTGAGCAAATAATTATGGTTCCACTGTATGCCTACTCTCAGGGAGACTGTAATAACATTTCCCCAAATGGGACTGAATTCTATAAATCCAATTCCCAGAGTGTTTCCACTACACTGAAGAATGATGATGAACTGAGCTCGCATTTCAAATGATGAAGCACACTAATAATAAAGGAATGTTCTTCAGTACCACAGGCCCAACTGCCATGCTGTGTCCTTTCATCTTCAATGTAAAGACATGTAACAGACAAGCGTTCACTCTCTGAATTTACACACTGAACACACTTCCATGTGACATTACTCAGATTAGGATACAGGACATTACCAGCACCCTGGTAGTCTTCCCTTCCTTCTAGACCCTATTCACCTCCACCTCCCACACCAAAAGTAACAAAGCATTTTGGGAAAAATAAAAAGTTTTCCGTGGAAACAGCTTCTCTGAATTGTCTTAAGTTAACATGGTGCTGCTATTAAATGTGCTAAGACACAAAATTGATCTTTACAGGAATAAGCAAGGGCGGTGTTCTAATCAGAGGTGGATGGAAAGGTGACCATTAAAAGCTTAGGAAATGAAAAATCACCAGGGACTTCGTCACTCACTCTTGATTTCCAGATTCAGTTGGGGTTTGTCACTAAGCTCTTTTTAAGAGGGTTTCTCCTTCATATGTGTACTCAATGACACCAATGAAATTTTTGTCAATAAAAAGTTACACTCTGCTGGGAAAATGCTATCACTCTAAGCAGTTCAAAGGTCTTACACATATCACCCTTACCTCAGTTATTTTTACACAGCTCCTTGCTTTCCTGAACAGGTGCAGTAAAACAATTGACCAAAATGACTCATAATGGTCCCCAGGCCAACCCTGCTTTGTAGTCGTACCAAGGAACTAGCATAGATTCCTTAAGAAACTCTGCTCAAAAACACAAATATATCAGTTTTGAGGGTCCAGGCCTCTTGATGCAGTAAACTGCATGGCAGGAATTTCCCAACCTCCTCAATGCCAATTTTACTTTTAATAAAAAAGGTTCAAAAAGGTTTAAAATATTTTTATTTTAAAAATAAAACTGATTCAGAAAGTGCAAGGAGAAATGATTTCGGTCCATGCTCTATATCCATCTTCGACAAGCTGTTGGCAACAGAAAAGAAGGAAAAAATTACAAACACACAATCATTAACTTCTAATTATCCTATTGTACAGTTATACCATGAACAAGAAGATCTGGTGTTAAAGGTAAGAAATCTGAGACCCTGAAAATCTGCATCGCTCTAATGAAAAAGCCAGGACTGGATGCAAGGCTCCTGACTTCCATGCCACTGCTCTTTCCACTTGACCAGGCTGCCAATAACCTAAGAATTCAGACGGGAGATTATGAAACAGGAATCCAAAGATGTACTGCGGTGCTAGCAAGGAGATTACTGAAAAGAATGAGAAGGAGGGGAAAGTGGTGGCAGGAACCCTTCCACAAGACATTACCTTTCTTTCTTTCCAGTATTTACATTTTGAAGTTGAATGTTGTCAACCTGCGGCACTGCACGTGGTAAGACATTCCCCTTACACACGCGCAATGCACTATACTACGACAACAAAGTGCAAGTTACTGAAAAAACAAAAACTCCTCATTCTGGTTTCTGTGGGAGCCAGCCACCTCCTGGGACTGTCCAAAGGCCCCCTGCCCGCAGACATCCACCCCACTCCAAAGTTTCCCCTTGGAGCCGCCACTCTAAGTACTGCTCACCGCCACTTCGGGAGGAGCTTGGCTTGGCAGGCGGGGACTGTGAGGCAAGCCTGGCTCAGGAGGTGCCCCCGCGCCGGCGAAGGCTAGGTGGCAGTGCGGGGGGCCGACGGCACCGGGCTCAGGACAGATCCAGCTTTTTCTGCGTCACCGCCAGCTTGTCCTGCAGTCTCCGCTTCCTCCAGTCCAGGTAGCGCCTCCGCAGCCGGTTCGCCTGCCAGCCCACGAGCACTCCGGAGGCGAAGGCCAACAGCACGGACAACTGCAGCTTCCTCTCGGACACGTCCGCCATTGCTGCCACTAGGCGTGCAGGACGGCCTACGGCAGGGCGGTGGGGTCACACGCGCAGCGTGTTCACTAGGGCAGCGAAGGGGGCGTGGCGCGCCCAGCGCGGCCTACGGCGGGCGGCAGGGTCAGACGGCGGAGTGCGTTCACGCAGGCGGCAGAAAAAGCCCTCCTCAGTGGTCATGGACTGGATCTGTGACTTGTGTCACTCCTGTGATCACTTTATGATATATGAAACTTCTTCACGGACTGAAGACTCTCCTGTGGGGTTCATGAAGCAAGCAAGCAAGCATGTTGGAGAAGCGCAAATAGCAAATAGCCAAGAACTGCGGTGGGCTCTAGGAGGGCGGCACCGTTCAGCTAACTGCCGGCAAAAAGCGAGATCCCTCCGTCCTACAACCACAGGGAAATTAACTTCCTACCACGTGAGTAAGCTTGGAAGCAGATTCTTCCCCAGCCCAGCCCCCAGATGAGAACCCAGCGGGGCTGATGCCTAGACTGCAGCCCTGTGTGATCCTGCTGGAGGACCTGCCCCGCTCCTAACCCGTTGGAGCTGTAGTAATGTTACACAGCAATAGAAATGAATCCAGCGCGGAAGGGAGACCACACTTGGGGCCTGACCAGCCAGCCTCTCTACAGACATCATCAGCAAATGGGCTTTCATCCTTGAGGCAAAAACCTAACTTAGTATTGGGTCCATTGCGAATTCACATCTGCCATGCTTAATTATCATTTATTCAGCAAATATGTATGGAATGCTGCAGCAGGCAGTGGATATGTAGAGGTGAAAACCAAGGGGACATAGGACGGCTCTGCAGTGGAGGTCAGGAGCACAGGACACTCCTCAGGGCTTAGCATCACAACGCCCTGTGATGAAGTCCATGGAAAACTACAAGGAACCAATCCAAGCAGGACTACTGATGGCCTCAACCTTTCAAGGAGTGAAGGTCAATGTCATCCCACTGGGCAAAATGCACGAGCAACTGAGGTGTTTGCTGGGAGCAAAGGGAATATGAAGTGGGAGATGGAAGAAGGTTAAGTACCAGCTCCGAGAGTGACCAGCTAAAAAAACTGGATTTGATTGTTGTATTTTTAGTATTCATTTGGGAATAAGTTTGTTTCTGTATATTTTATGTGTTAGTTAAATCTACATAAATGTAAAAAAACAGATTGGATGACATTCAATCCTTGCTGTAAACATGTCTTTTCAGGGTAATTGTCAGTGAGTTCATTTTGGGCCACTGGATGCCTAGAGATGCAGAGTTTCCCCGCTTGGCTACATCAAATATTGCTACATATACAAGTATTGCAGGATTGGCGCACAGGAACTTCCCAGTCCCACAGTGGAAACCCTTCGGGCACCTTCACCTCACCCCAACCCCCGCCTTGATCTGCGACAGGGGCTATCCACAGTCAGTGATCCTATGTTATGGCAGCCCTCTCATAGTAACACAGTCTGTTGGGACACACTGAACAGGTCATCTGTGCCACACCGGAAGTGGCAATAGAATTAAATCATATCAGGGTCCAACAGCACTGAAAGGCTGAGTTGCTGAGGAAAATACCTCCTTTATGGGATATGAAGGAGATGAATAAGACCATAGCTTTTGACCTGGCCGGCTTACCACAGTTCACTGTACTCTGCGAGATGACACGTTGCAGAAATGTGTATACAATACCATAATCCTATCCCATTTTTGTAGAAACCACCCTATCGAGTGTGATGATGCGTAAGGCTTGGAGAAGGTCTGCAAAGCTGACTGTTCCACAGGATACCTTGGGCAGGTAGTAAAACAGTCAAAACTAGAAAATGCAAAGACAGCATAAATGTTTTCCTCTACAATTCCAACAAACAGGTGAAAAGTGTATTTCTACCCCACCAGGCAGCTGGTGGTAATGGGGGTCCAGATTCCTTTGGGAGTGGGCCTGTGAAACACTCACATATGAAAGCCTTGGGGCCCAGGGAAGTCCCCTGATTTGAGTCTGGGTTCTGTGCCACCCCAGTCTTCTCGAGGTCCTGGCTGTGGACACCCCTCTGGGCCAGCTCTCACCTCAGATCAGCACTGGATGGTATTGGTGGCCTGGTGCTCCTGCACCTCGTACCAGGAGAGGTCATCTGAGAACCCATCAGACAGCTCCTCCCAGGCCTCTGCGGTGGAGCTCTACAAAGAGAGAGCCCGGTACCGGGCTACGAGGCATCAGGGGCCTGCCTGGGCATTGCCTGTGGGGGAGCTGCCCATCACAAATTGTGCTCAGGCCCAGAGAATAAAATCTTACACAAACAAGGGGGGTCTTACAAGATGGCAGAGGAGAAATGATCTGGAGTAGTCCCGAGTTTTGCTCTTGAGCTGTCTCTTCTTCACCCACATCAGCTTCATGATATCCCAGGATACATGTCAGATCTAGCTCCAGAGGGCACACAGGGAGGGTGGAAGTACAAAAGGGCTCAGAAATTGTCCTAAGATGACAGGCTTTATTTACCATTCTGATCCAATTCATGATTTATTTTTATAGGGTAAGAGGAAAAGCCTGATGGTGAAGACCTCACAGAGGAAGCAACATGACTGAAAACCAATCCAAACCAAAGCCTGGGTTCAGCATCCTTTAAGGATGTCCAGTTATTAATACACATGCTAGAGGTCGGTTACTAGGACCATATACAACTCTGGCAGTGCCTTCGGGGACAGCTAGGACTCCAGGCTGGCAGTGGTGCAGGACAACTGTGAAGTGCTTGGGACCTTTCCAAAGCCTCACACAAATTTGCACCTAGTCACACAGGCGAATCCGTGCCAGGTGTTCTCACAGGTGCCTGCACTCCAACCCCGTGCCCACCCTGCCCAGTCTTCAGATTTGGCAGAGATGATACCAGGAGCTGGTCTGGGCATTTCACAGCTTCTGTGCAAACAATTTCTTGTGACAGACTCCCAGCAAGGCAGAGAAAATGAGGGGCCAACAAGGATGTCCTGAAACACACTACGAAAAGAAGGTGGTGCAGATGGCATGGAGCTTGGCATTTTAATAATGTCTCTTTGCAGAGTCCACATAGACAGTGATCTTTCTGAGGTGAGAGATTGGGTTTCAGAGGAGAGGAGTTTTTCCCTTTTTCATGTTGTTTTTAATTTTCCTTTACTGTGTTATTTATTTGTGTTTTAAAGACAACAGAGAGTTATCAAATTCATGGGATTATTTACTGGTTTTCCCTCAGTCAGAGTGAAACCTACCTGGCCAGAACTGACTGATTACTCTTTTTGTGTAATATTCCAGTAAATTCCAAAATAGTATCTCAGAGCTTTTAAATCTATATTTTCAAATAAGGTATTTACTTCTAGGTCTTTTTCTGTTCTTTGCTTCATGTGAATTCAGAGTTGCATGTGAGGAAACACCAGATTTTCCCTCATTTTTAAAGATCTATGTGTTTGAAATTTGATTCATGAAAACTGACATGCCATTTGGGAGATCATGCTGTCAAAAGACCATCTTCAGCATCATTAATAAGCCACTGCTGGTTGTGATTGTTTGCCTGATCAAGTGTGCTGTATTCAAATCCTCTGTCATTACCTACTTTTGTCTGACAGATTTATTAGTCTCTGAGAGTGATATGTTAAATTATAGAGTGTCTATAGTATTTATCTTCCCTAAAAGTGAGTTATTTAATTGAATCGTCACACTTCTCCCATGTGGTTATTATATGGAACTTTAATTTGAACGAGTTTTAGTTTCTTGTTTAAAACTAATTTAGATACACTAAATTTTTCCTGTCCTCATTATTTCCCTTATGTCTCTGGGTTCACGTTTCTTCTTCCTGTTGTACATTCTTTACTGCTTATTTCACTGGAGGCTTGTAGGAGGTCAATTTTGAGTCTGTCTATATGTTGGAAAATGTCTTTATCTCTTTGACAGATAGTTGGGCTGGGTCTTTATTTTAGGTTTAAAGTAACTGTGTTTTCTTCTTTGTTGTGTCTCAGCCTACTGTGGGTAAGATGTTAGGAAAATTCACATTCATTGGCTGATGTTCGCTTTTTTTTGTCTGTTTCCCTTTTTGTGTTTTTCTTTTTTTTTTGTCTGTTTCCCTCATGTAGGGTGATGTCTCCCCCACATGAGGTGATGATTAGCTGTTTGTTTCCTCACATGACAGACTGCATGTGAGGTGATGGTTAGTTTTTGTCTGTTATCACGAGAGACTACATGTGATTTTGTCTGTTAGCTTTTTGTTCCCTCACATGAGACTAGATGTGAGTGATGGTTCCCCATCACATGAGAGACTGTATGTGATGTTGTCTGTTTTTGTTCCCTCACATGAGAGACTGCATGTGAGGTGATGGTTAACTGAGGGTTAAGAAAATCCTTGGTTTGGGGTTGAGAGAATTCTTCCTCGTCTCATTCCAGGCAGGAGAGATATGAGATGATGTTGCTTTCTGTTTGTTTCACCCTCATTAGCAGATGAACTGAAGAAGTAACTAAATTGTATCAGGATGACGTGACAGGCACGTTGCCAAGCTTTGGAAGGCCTTGACCTGATAGTCCGAGGCGAGAACAGCAGGTGTTGTTTGTCTAGATGAACTGGCACTTCAGCTGGATGAGCAATATTTTATCATGGTGACTGCTGAACCCTCTTGGAACTGGCCATTCCCTGAGGGGGAGGCAGGAACAAGAAACTTGGCTCTAAAGTACATCAAAAGAAATATATACATAAGACAGACCTCAGTTGGTATAAAGAAGATTGCTGTTTCGGGGGATTGCTGTTTCAGGGCTGCTTTTCAGGGAAGGATTGTTTCAGGATCATCATTCAACACCAGCATCATTATGTGGAACTTACAGTACAGCTTGCAACATTGGGCGATTGCAGTGCGTTGCGACTTAAGCTTACATGCAGCTTTGCAGCATTGGGGGACACCCGTTTCCAGCTGCGAACTTGGCGAGGTTGTTTGGTTGGCAGTAGAGAGTTCTTTTGTAGTTGTTCATTTGGTGTTCATCATTGAGCATTCGTCGTCATTCTGATGTTGGCACTGAGAACTTGTATGCAGCTTACAGCCTGCAGCATCAGGAGATGCCCTGACTTCCAGTCGCCGACCTGGTGAGGTCTGGCTGATTTCCATCTCTCCAGTGTTGTTTCTTCATGGTTTTGGTGAGCTTTTGGCATATACTGTTACTAGTTAACATCTAATAAAATTTACTATTGTATTTGAATACTCCTTATTGATTTCATTTGTGTATTTAGCCAAATTGATTTTAAGTCTAGTTTTAACTGTTTTCACCTTCTGCAATTGCCTTTCTTTTGATTGTCTTGATTGCCTTTGCCTCTTGCTGTTAGATACTGCTAACTCAACTGATTGGATATTGCTACCTAAATTGATTGGATATTGCTACCTAAATTGATTGGATATTGCATAATAAATATTGCTAAATAAATCAATTAGTTCCTCCTAGCGTGTGCTCCTCCTTCCTTTTCCCTGCTCGTCATTACACCTTCCTATCTGTAGTGATAAAATGGGAATAAAGCCTGAGGACAGTGGACATAACTGAGATGACGCATGCAGCATTTGCCAGTCATGTTGCTTAGCAGGTATTAAGTCGCCTGCAGTGATAATGATTATTACCATAACTAGACTCGTCAGAGAGTGCATCTCAGAGAATGACTGCTTAAGACAGAGGAGCAGAAGCACACGCTAAAAAGTTTGAAAGGGAGGCACTATTGTGACTAATTCTTACCCCTTGGGTATCTTCGGCTGCGGGCATCTCCAACAGGTGTAGAGATCATGTGACCTGCTCCTGTGAACCCACAGCAGACAGCACACCTGCCTGATGCCTGCGATGCTTTGGGCTGCTTGTTGGGTAGCCTCTGCCTTAACTGTCTAGTTGGATTCAGTGCAGAGCAAGATGAAAAAAGGACCACCCTACTTTTCTGTCAGATTTTTCCCTCCGAGTTTTATTCATCTTTACATCCAAAGCTGACACTGTCTTTATAGCTTTCATATTACTCTGGAACAAAGGACTCTTTCTGCTAATCAGCAATGGTGGTTAAGCAGCCTATGTTTGGGATTAGAAGGTTCTTCAGAGAGTTTCTTAGAATCTCCATGCCCTGTGATCTAAGCCTTTAAGGTCTGGAAAAAGACAGGGTTCCCCACTCGCACCACTTTTACTCAATGTCCTACTGGCAGTCCTAGCCAGAGCAACTAGGCAAGAAAGAGAAATAAAGAACATCCAAATCACAAAGGAAGAAATAAAATTGTTTGCAGATGATGTGACTTTTATATGTAGAGAATCCTAAGACTCCATTACCAAACTGTTAGAACTATTAAACAAACTCATTATTGCAGGCTTCAAAATATAGAAATATCAATTGCCTTTCCATACACTAACAATGAACTATCTGAAAAAGTAATACAGGGGCTGGCCAAGTGGCGTGTTGGTTAAGAGCTGGCTTGGGACACCAGCTCTGAGCAGCACGACCCTGGTTCAGATCCCACATGACAGCCAGGGACGCTGTGCCCTCTACAGCTAAGATGGTGAACAACAGCTCGACCTGGAGCTGGGCTGCTGTGAGTCGCTGGCGACAGCGTAGGCTGCAGCCCCTGCTACAGTGGGCTGCTGTGAGCTACCATGAGTGGCGGGTAGCCAATGAGAGCAGCCGTGAGCCACTGTCCAATGGCCAGCGAGCGACTGCCTCACCCGGGAAGAGCGCAATGATAATACCAACATGGGCCAATGAAGCAAAGGTCCTCCACTAGACTGAAGAACAAAAGGACAGCAACTTATCTGTTCCCCTTCCCCGATTCCCCAACACCGTTCCCCTCCCCCAATTCCCCAATAAAAAAATCTTAAAAAAAAAAGAAATACAGAAAACAATCCTATTTACAGTAGCATCAAAACCAATCAAATACCTGGGAATAAATTTAACCAAGGGATTAAAAGATCTGTACACTGAAACCCATAACATTGATGGTAGAAATTGAAGAAGATGCAAATAAATGGAAAGGTATGCTGTGTTCATGGGTCAGAAGAATTAACATTATTAAAATATCCATGGTAACCAGAGCCATCTACAGTTTAGTGCAATCCCTATCAAAATTCCAGTGGATTTTTCAGATTAAAAAAAATCCTAAAATTCTTATGAACCACATAAGACCCCAAATAGTCAAAGCAATGCTGAGAAAGGAGAACAAAGCTACAAGCACCACACTTCCTGATTTCAAACTATATTACAAAACTGTAATAATGAAAATGGTATGGCATAAAACCAGACACAGACCAATGGAGCCAAATCGAGAGCCCAGAAACAAACCCATGCACATATGTTCAACTACTGTTTGACAAGGAATCCAAGAATACTCAATGGGGAAAGGACAATCTTTTCAGTGCTTGGGTGTTGACACTAAGAGCAAATTTCATGTTGATTCACCTGACAAGGTCTGTCCCTGGACCATTTTCAATGTCCTTCCCAAGTTGCGTATGTGAAAACATTGTGAAACCCATTCCATTAATTTATCCTGCAGACACACTTGCACCTGCTCAGTAGCAATGCAATTATGAAACCAATTAAGTGTCTTTAGAGAATTGTTTAATAAGTTACGGCACATTCATATAGGGGAATGGCATATAACTGGACCAATATAGAGGGAAAGAAAGCATGAACAGTATTCTGTTTGTATAAGGAAATGGATGGATACTTCTTCCACATGATTAAAAATGCCTACATCAGGCTGCATGGTGAGCTTACTGGGTAAACTAGAAGAGCTAATAAAGCAGATGACAGGGATGTCAGCACCACTACTGCTTCAGCCCTTTCAAGGTCCTATGTAATGACAAGAGAAAAGTCACCAGCTAATACCTGGAAAAGACATAAAATAGGCATTATTTTCATGGTGACATTTGGAAACTTCAGAATAATCAACTGAAAAGCTTTTTATAAAAATGAATAGGCTTCATATGTGGTATGAGAAGTTTGCAAACTCATCCTAGAAAAAGTGCTACATACCCCATTGCTGAATATCACTATGGTCAGCTTTGAAGTGCTCCCCTTGAAAGCTATGCACTGACACCAGTGCCTAGTCCACCCTTCAAAGCAATTTTGGAACTCTTTTTCTGGAATGGCCATCAGAGCTGTTGTCATATTACCTTTGATGTTCTGAATATCATCAAAATGTCTTCCTTTCAATATTTCTCTTATCTCCAGATAAAGAAGTCATTGGGGGCCAGATCAGGTGAGTAGGGAAGGTGTTCCAATAGTTATTTGTTTACGTGCTAAAAACTCCCTCGCAGACAGTGCCAGTGCCGTGTGAGCTGGTTGTGATGCAAGAGCCATGAATTGTTGGCGAAAAGTTCATGTCATCTTTTTCACAAAGCTTTTCAGCACTTCCAAATAATCAACTTGGTTAACTGTCTAGTTATCAAAAAAAGGTAAGCAACATCATTGCAACAAATTCACTGACTTATGAGACCTCTTATATTCAAACTACCATGGAGGCAGGAGGGTCAGTTCAGGTTATACAACCCTACCAGGTAGAAAAAAATAGCAAAAATTTAGATCTGATTTAAAATAGAACCAATGGGGAGACAAAGAAACATGTCCCAAATAAAAGAACAGAACAAAGCTCCAGAAAAAGAACAAACTGGAGACAAGTAATCTAGCAGATGCAGAGTTCCAAAGATTATAAAGATGCTGGTTATAAAGATGCTCAATGATCTCAGGAAGAACTTCAACAAAGAGATAGGAAACATAAAAAAGAACCAGTCAGAAATAAGACTACAATAACCAAAATGAATACGTTACAGGGAACCAACAGATAAAGCAGAGCATCAAATCAATGATTTAGATGAAAAGGTAGCAGAAAACACCCAATCAGAACAGAAAATAGAATCCAAAAATTGAGGAGAGTTTAAGGGACCTCTGGGACATCAAGTGTATCAACATTCGCATCATAGGGGTACGAGGAGGAGAGCAAGGAATTGAAAACCTATTTGAAGAAATAATGATGGAAAACTTCCCTAATCTGGCAAAGGAAATAGACATACAAGCCCAGGAAGTGCAGAGTCCCAAACAAGATAAACACAAACAGGCCCACACCAAGACACATCATAGTTAAAATGACTAATGTTAAGGACAAAGAGAGAATCCTAAGAGTAGCAAGAGAAAAGCAGTTAGTTACCTACAAGGGAGCTCCCATGAGACTATTAGCTGATTTCTCAATAGATTTGCAGGCCAGAAGGGATTGGCAGGAAATAGTCAAAGTGATGAAAAGCAAGGACCTACAGCCAAGATTCCTCTATCCAGCAAAGCTATTATTTAGAATCGAAGGACAGATAACTTCCCAGACAAGACAAAGATAAGAGTTCATCACCACCAAACCATTATTACAAGAAACCTTAGAGGAACTTAAGATGAAAATAATAAAAAAATGGCAATAACTACATACCTATCAACATTTACTTTCAATGTAAATGGATTAAATGCTCCAATCAAGATAGGGGGGCTGGATCGAAAGGAAAACACCCTTACACATGCTGTTTGAAACACACAAACTGAAAGGGATGGAAAGACATATTTCATGAAAATGGAAACAATCAAGCAAAAAACTGTGGTCGCAATACTTATACCAGACAGAAAAGGCTTTAAAACAATGACTATAATAAGAGACAAAGAAGGACCCAGTAATCCCACTTCTGGATATTTACCTGAACAAACCTAAAATGCTACTTCGAGGGGACATGCTCATCCATATGTTCATTGCAGCATTCTTTTTTTTTTTTTAGCTGAGCCATCCTGCTACCTGTTGGCAGCTCAGCGGCTGCTCAGCGGCTGCTCAGCTCGGGCTGGACTCAAACCGCCGTTGCTCAGAGCTCAAACTCTTGAGCGAGCTCTTAACCAACTGAGCCACTCGGCCGGCCCTCATTGCAGCATTCTTTACATAAGCTATGAAGGCAACTTGGGTGTCTGTCAATGGATGGAGGTGGTACATATATACAATAGAATATTACCCATAAAAAAAGGAAATCTTGCCATCTGTGACAACATGGATAAACCTACAGAGTATTGTGCTGAGTGTAGTAAGTCAGACAGCTGGTGAATGTATGAATATATTTCACATAATTCAGAAGATAATGCAAGTGAAAACCATAAGGAAATCCTTTTTCACCCATCAGAGTGGCAAGGGTCGCAGTGCCTTGTCTGTGCTGTTCGTGGTGTGTGGGGAACAGTTTGATGCAGGGTGGCATAGCCTCTGTGGAGGGGCTATTTGCAAATACTGATACAAAATGTTGAATGCACTTTCAAAAATACATAGAATCATTTCTGTAAAGATTCACAAAATGTGGGTTGTGGTTGTCTCTGGGACAGGGATCATGGCAGCTGCAGGGAGGTGTAGGAGGAAGCAGTTCAGTCTGTATCCTTGTGTTCTTGAACTGGGTGTTTCCTCACCTTTTTCACCATGATGCTAAGGGAGTTAGGAGGGTCAGTTCAGGTTATAGGGCCCTTCCAGCTTTCAAAGTCAGTATATGCTAAGTGGGCTGCTATGATTATGGGCCTGATTTAATGATTTGTACAGCTTTTAAGACTACTTTCAAGACGTGTGATTTTCCTTTGAGTGGTACTTTTAAAAAATAAAGAGACTTAAGATTTCTACCTTTACTCCTTCTCATAGATAGCAATGAATAGGCGATAAACGACAGGCAAATTTATTCATAAAATCTTGAGTCCCTTGGATATATGTGGGGAATTTTTGTTTATTCGACACAAATACAAACGCGCAAATTTGGAAAAAAGCTGTCTTGGCCCTTGTTTTGGCTTACAGTGAACAGGTCAGTGTTTAAAAAGTGACCTCAGAGAATGTTCACTTCCAAGATTCTCGTGAATTCTTGTGTCCCTAGGGCTGCTTGTCAGCCTGCCACTCAGGGACCGGGCATGTGCATTTGGCTGAAATACAACAACTAAGTGTTCAAAGATATATTTTATAGACTTTTAAAAAAGAAACATTTACATAAACAATAAATGTGAAGACATCAAGGTTTAAGGTGAGCAGACCAGCATTTACAAAGCCATTTTTAGGGAGCATCATCTCTTATTTTCGAGAACGCTTGTATTCTAAGAGCAGTACAATTAGCCTGTTACGTAGGGTCTTAATCTTGTTAACATAGTGTTCTTGAAATACTTTCTTCAGCTTTTGCCTTAACATATCCAAAGATGGAAGATGTTGAGAGTCTGGTATATTCAACATGATGTGAAAAAATTCATTCCACATATCCAAATGAGGAAGCCTGGAGGAAAAAAAGCATAAAGGATAAAATGTAGCGTTCAACCAGGGCAAACCTGCTCCTGCATCTGACTTCCACAGGTTTGGAAAGCTGAATCTAACAACTTTCACCTACACACAACTAATGCATCAAGGTAGAAATGTTGAATCTATTATAAGAGAAATTAAAGATCTAATGAAATGTCCATATACATGTTGTTCCCAAAAAGCAGTTTAAGATTAAGTAGCCTTAATAATAGCTCTTCAGTGGAAAAACTGAATATTTTTTTAAAGAAAATTGATGTGCTGTGGCTAGCTGTACATGCTGTAATGCCAGGATCTGATCCTCTGGCTACCAGTTCTGATGAGCCTACTGTGAATGTGCTGGCACCAGGTGGACAGGCGATGCTGCCCAGAACAGAGCTCAGATTTAGAGTTCCAACTGCTGCACTATTTAAAGTAACCGCAAAACCTCCAGAACCTGGACAGGAGGTATGGGGAAAAGAAGAACATAAGTAAATTTGTGTTCCGGACAGGAAATTCAGCCCGTTGTTATTAGGCTTCTCTCTACACTAGTGATCAGAGACGGAAACCGTCTGACCATGCTCTGGTCCTTCCATTATGAGTGAGAGGAAGAATAAATGGTTGCTAAATTTGATGGCTCATAATGCAAAATTAAGCATAGTTGTTGTAAGTTTCCCTCTCAGGCCTGAATCTAACCTACTCATGTATAGACACTACATTTTAGAAAATTCCTACTGACTACTTGTTCTTGTCAGGGTATGTCAAAATCCAGTCAGCTGTACACTGGAAGAGTATACTTTTCTATGTATATTTTTATACTTCAAAAGCAGTTAAGAAAAAGTAAAAATAACATAATGAACAGCTTAAACATTATCAAGTTTATTCACACGACACTATTAAGAGAGCCATCTGTGTTGATAGGCAGTCCTAGTCCAGTCATTAGCTTCCACTGTGGTTTTACAGATGAGAAAAGTGTTAGAAACATGACCATCATACTGGGGTGGGACCTCAAATTCTACCCGGTGATGGATGGCTGCCTCACCTTATTACTTTATAATCCACAAAGCACTTTCACGTGCATTATTTCCTTTGCTTTTTGTAAGACACATCCAGGGAAAGTAGGGCCATTATTATTCCCATTTACACAGGGAAAAGACAAGCCAACACCGAAGGCTCAGGGAAGACAGGTGACGGGAGCGTACAGGACACCAACCACTCAGCCAGCTCCTGCTGCTTCTATGAGGCACTGGCCACCTGGCTGTCACCAATGGGAACAGAAGCAGTGAGGTTGTAGAACTTACTCACTGTACCCAGCACCCACGATTCTCATGTCGCCACACTTTCCAAGTTTTCCATGGAGTGGCAGAGATCCATTTCCCCCAGATGGAGCCCAACACTCTACCATATTTAGCCTCTTTTCACGACAGCACCAACACTGATACCCACCTTCTAAAGAGACCTTCTGGCTTCCAGACTCCACCTTCATTTTTCACTTTCATGTAAGAGCCGAAAAGCATGCAGTACACTGTTGCAGCAACTCCGAAATAATCAATCTATAAAAAAAATACACAGGCCTATCTAACATAGTAATTTACACAAGTGTATTAAGATGTCTAGCTCATGCAGCAAGTAAATAATCATAGGAGATAACTTTTAAACAATATCAAAAGCCCTATGTTCAACCATCCCACTAATGTGCACTACTGAGTGCCCGTCTAGGCTTTGCTGGAAGCTTCCACAGATTTCCCAACTGCCCCCTAAGGTGGCACCTTGGAAAGCTCGGTTCTCCTTGAGCTACTGTGTCCTTCCAAGTCCTTTGTTTTGTCACCCAGAGGCAAACACAACACTAACCCCTTCGGCACAGACAGCTTGGAAGGCCTCCCAACTCCTTCCCTGGGTCCCTGGCCGCTGCTCTCACTGCACTACAAGGCCTCTGCTGTGGGATGAGCTTGGACTGAATGCAACACTCGAGCACGGGCTCCATCCTGACAGGGCACCAGAGCAGCTCAAACTAACTAAATGCCCAAACTCATCTTGAAAATGTAGTAAGTGTCATAAAGGAAAGTGTTTTAAAATCTCTCAAGTTGTTCTATACCTGGTAGTTCCATGATTTGTTACTGAGCATCTCAGTACACTGGAAACCGGACGTTTCACACTTTCCTGTAAAAGTAGTCCCTTTCGGGAAAAGTTTCATATCTATACTCTGACCCAGGTCAATCAGTGCCAAGCCAGCAGATAAATCGTCATCTTTGCTGTCCTGTTCCAAGAATCTGTATTAAACATAAACAAGGGCCAGGCTGCATGAGCACACAAGTGCGTCTGCTGGGGAAATGGGAAGAAGGGACTTGTTACAAGTGCGATACTCGCCTGCCCCCGAGTATGAAGTTGTCTGGCTTAATGTCCCCGTGGATGATTTCACAGTTGTGGACTTGTTCCACCATGTGGAGCATGCTCACAGCAAAGGACAGCACCAGAGCCTGAGGCATCACCTTCTCAGGGGTGTTCTTGTAGAGGTTGATAGCATTCTAGAAACAATGGAAAGAGGGATCCTGAGTTGGCTGCACAGCCTCAGTGACATTCCAAGTCAAGAGCTCTGCCCCGCCTACCCTTCCAGTAAAAGTTCTGAACGTGCAAGGACAAGTCAAGAGTGCACCCTGCACCTACGTGCACACCATCAGCATAAACACACCTACCAGAAGTGTCCCATAGCTGTATAGGTCTCCCACCAGCATGCTGCCATCCTGGAAGAAGTGGGCAGAATAGAACTTGATAAACAGGTGCCGCACGCTGGGCTTCAGCCTCTCCATCAGCTGGGTCCCGATATAGAATTCCCAGGGGTTGGCGGGCTTCTGGACCTGCAAACCAGGCACATGACATTCACATCCAGTCTCACATTCTGGAAAATGGTGGCCAGAAAACAACTTCCATCCCAGTGAAGGATGAGGGGTGGGAAGTGGTGACAAGCTGCTGTGGTTCAGGACTTGCTTGCAACTTAATTCTAGAGACAAGGCAAGTCTTGGTCCTTGTAGGAGTTTTGTTTCTTAAGTGCTCACTACAGACCTAAACAAAACCACCACTGTCTTCAAATAGAAAGAAAAAAAGAGGCCAGCAAATTCCAGTTCTAAAATGCATTTCTATAGTGTACAAAACGCTGCTCAGATCATTTACCTTCAGAACAAACTTCTGTTTGCTGTCAGTGTCCTTCACATCTCCATGGGTAACTTCATAGACCTGGGCAAAAGCCCCTTCTCCAAGAAGGCGATCAATGTAGACCAGCAGAGAGCCTTAGGAGACAGATGTGTCGAGGTGAAAACTAAGGCTCAACACATTAGAATTCATCAAAATGAAGTATCTGTCAAATTTTCTTGGGGCTTAAATTGCTTTAACAAATACACATGGATATAGCTCCCTTAGGAGATGCTTTTCCCATCTTGCACGAAAGCTAAACAGATACCCACTGCAACCTAGCCCCCTTTTAAACAACATGATGGAGGAGCACAGGCCCCACCGTGGGCCAGGCCTGTCACTTAGCGACAGGAACCCCTTTCCTCACCACTGTGCTCCTACTTAAAGGAGCCACACCTGTGCTGCCTACATGGTAGGACCACTGTGATGTCAGAAACAACACCTAAAAAATCCCCTGCAATGTGCTAAACAAAGCGAACATGCCTTTGAAAAATTCAAGTGTTTTATATCAGAATCAAAAGAGCAAAGTATAATTGTACCAATATTTCTAATAGATAAACTTTTTAATTGAAGTAAACCTTGTATTTTAGAACAGTGTTCGATGTACAGAAAAGCTGCAGACAGAACAATGTCAGTTATGTTCTACACACAGTTGCCCTACAGCTCACTTTCACATAACCGTGGTTCACTTGTCACAAATAAAGGACTGACACTGCTATGTTACTCAGATGTCCCTTGTTTCCCCCTAATGTTCCAGAACATAGTCATCAAGTCTCTCAGCCTCCACTAGGCTGTGACAGTTTCTAACTTTCACCATGCAGCTGCCGACTGGAATGCTCCTGCGCACTGAAGTCATAAGGGAGTGTCTCGGAATGCTGAGGCCCGAGGGAATAATCTCGCTAAAGATTCCTTATCTGATGGTCTCGGAATGCTGAGTCCATCCATAGGGATCACACGGATGTGTCTGAATACAACTTGTGTTTGAACACAAGTTTCCGGTGAAGCAGTTGCCAGACACATTGAATCAACATACTGGGATAAGATATACAAATTTACTTCTTTGTGGAAGTGGAGAATAAAAGCTTTGCGCCTGCCAGATTTGGGGCTCAGTCCACAGAGGCTTGAGACCCCTGGCCCGCATTAACTCAATACTTGGCTCTTGTATTTCTTAACCATTCGACGTCCCTCCTTGAGCTCCCCAGCCCTTGTCACGTGGGACATTATATCTAGCGCCCAAGGTGGAGGCTCGAAGAGGGAAGGAAGACTCCGAGTCTAAGAAAGAAGATTTAATGGCGAGACGGTCTGGAAGGCACCGCGGCAACTACCGGATAAGGAGGTAGGAGGCAACTACCGGAGAATTTAACCAGGGTAAAGGGGAATTCACTAAAAAACTTTCGTATGAAAGAGTATGAATGTGTTAGTGGTTGACTATAGTTCCACGGCTTCAGCTACGGAACTTGATTGGGTCCCAATCTGCAGTTCCGCGGTCAAGTCATAAGGCAAAATTGTGATTTGACGCTCAACTGGGTCAACCAGACCCGGGGTTTACACAGGTATACCATAGCCAAGACGGACCTTAACGTCCCGCAAAGGGGCATGGCCAGAGGGGCATCTGAGTTAACTTTGAGTGAAACTCTTCCTTTCTTTCTTGTTACTAACATGGGAAACGCTGAGAGCCAAAATAGACCTTATATTTATCTATTCAAACAGTTTCTTAAAGCTGGGGGAGCTCGAATTTCAGGTCAGAAATTGGAAGAGCTTTTAAAGGTAACTGAAACTCATTGTTCCTGGTCCCCTAATTTAGGAATAATAGACTTGAAAACATGGAAGAAAATTGGTGATGAACTCCTGGAAGTACATCATACAGGCATTCTTCTCCCAGCAACAATTTGGATTACTTGGCAGTTAGTCTGGTCAGTTTTAGAGCCTTTACAAACTGACACGGAAGATGAAGGGGATGAGGAAAAGGAGGGAAGGTTTTTAGAAGCCTCTACTGTTATCCCGAAATCAGAATATCCAACTTTGGGAAATTGGCTGGAGGGTTAACAGTTCACCTTCAGTCCATCTGCCTCCGCCGCCAAGCCGCTGTCAGTTACAGCACGGGAGAGGGGACCACCCAGGCCACCGGAGGCAAGTGCTAACCCTTTTGTTCCCACCACTTGCAGCCCTCCCCCTCCTCTGAGAGGCCCACAGACGCAGCTTTCAGCAGTAGAAAGAGGCATGTGGCAGGCGTGTCTGGAGGGAGATTTGGATGCTTTAGCTTTTCCTGTTATACTTCATGAGTGTGTTGCTCCTGGAACAGACCCTCAAAAACCCAATGGAGTTTATAAATTTCAGTATAAGGCTTTTCCTTTTAAGATATTGAAAGAGTTAAAACTTGCTATAACTCAGTATGTTCCTACTTTGCCATTCCACTCCAGGCATAATCCGTAATTTGGATGATGGAAATCATTTAATTCCTATAGATTGGCGTAAATGGCTCAGACATGCCTTTCACCTACTCAATTTTTGCAATTCAAAACTTGGTGGACAGATGGAGCGGAAACCCAGAGTAGATACAACCAGGCCCATAACTTTGCTATTTCTCAGGATCAGCTCCTAGGGACGAGTAACTGGGAAAGCACTCAGAATCAGCTAACTATGGATGATCAGGCTATAGCTCAATTAAAAAGGATTTGCTTAATTGCATGGGTAAAAATCGAGACAGATGGTCAGGCTCCAAAGTCTCAAAAAATCCTTCAGGGTGCTACGGAACCGTATACAGAATTTGTAGCCCATTTACAAGATGCAATAAGGAAACAGGTAGCTAGTTTGCAAGCAGCTGAAATCATTCAACAAATCCTTGTCTTTGATAATGCTAATGATGACTGCAAAAAGGCTACTGGGCCCATGAAAGACTGATCTGTCAAGTTATATTCGTTTGTGTCACGGAGTGGGAAGGGAGCAGTTCAAAGCTGTAATGTTAGCTCAGGCAATGGCAGGAATAGAATTTGGACAGAATAAATTCCCTGGAAGTTGTTATAATTGTGGAAAATCCGGTCATACAAGAAAGAGTGCAGAAAGAAAAATAGAAACAGTTCCCACCCACCTAATACCTCTGCTCCTACGGAGCCCAGGCAACCTGGGCGGTGTCCCAAATGCCAAAAGGGAAATCACTGGGCTTTGGAATGCGGGTCAGTTTATCGTAGAAACGGCACTCTGCTTCAGGGAAACGGGAGAAGGGGCCAACCCTAGGCCCAGACAAGAACCGGGACATATATGGCACAGGAGATGCTTCAAAATTATCGGGCAGTGCCCCCTCTAGACTCAATGTCCAACAATTAAGTCCAGCCACAGAAGGGAGTGCTGCAGATGTCTGTTCAGCACAGAATCTTTTATTGCTCCCTGGAGAATCCCCGCTCCGTGTGTCCATGGGAATTTTTGGCCCAATCCCTCCTAATACTGTTGGACTTCTCCTTGGTCGTTCTAGTTTAACTTCCAAGGGAGTCACTGTTCATACTGGTATGACAGATTCTGATTCTGAGGGAGAAATTCAAGTTATAATGTCCTCTTCAGTTTCCTGGTCTGCTAAGAAGGGACAGCGAGTCGCGCAACTGCTCCTCCTTCCGTATATTCTCCGAGGAAAAAAAAGGGGACACAGAAAAGGGGAACCAGAGGACATGGAAGTACTGGTCAGGCAGGTGTTTTTCTAGCAGAAAAGATATCAGGAATTCGTCCTGTTTGTCAAATTGAAATCCAAGGCATAAAAATTGAAGGTCTTTTAGATACAGGGGCTGATGTTTCCATAATTAGTTCTCAAGAATGGCCAAAAAATTGGAAGGTACAGGAAACAAACATTAACATAGTGGGAGCTGGCAAAGCTTCAGGCTTACACCAGAGTGTCTGTATTCTTCCCTGACTTCCTAAGGGACAAAAAGGATTTTCACAACCCTATATTGCAGATATTCCAGTTAATATATAGGGAAGAGATTTGCACAATGGAAGGCAGAGATTTGGACACCCCCTGGACAATACAGTCCTCAAAGTAAAAAATTAATGAGTTATATGGGATCTCCGCTAGGAAGAAGTTTAGAAAAATTTAACCAGGGGATTACTCAACCCAATCAGCCTCTGTTTCAGCAAGGACAAGAGAGATTAGGTTATCGGACAGAGATGCAAGAGCCTTTTCTGTAGGGGCCACTGTTGCAGAGCTACAGACCCCTGTGGCTCTTAAATGGATAACAAGCCTCTCTGGATACAACAGTGGCCCCTCTCTCAAGAAAAATTAGAGGCTCTAAGAGAATTAGTACAGATTCAATTAGAACTAGATCATACAGAACCTTCTACAAGTCTCTGGAATTCTCTAGTATTTGTTATTAAGAAAAAATCAGGAAAATGGCAAATGCTCACTAATCTCCGAGCTGTCAATACCATCATCGAGCCCATGGGTGCTTTGCAGCCCGGACTTCCACAGCCTTCTATGATTCCAAAAAATTGGCCTCTGATAGTGGTTGATTTACAGGATTGTTTTTATACAATCCCTTTGCACCCCCAAGATTGTCCTAAATTTGTATTTTCTATTCCTTCAACTAATAATAAGGAACCTATGAAAAGGTATCAGTGGAAAGTGCTCCCCCAAGGAATGCTTAATAGTCCAACTCTATGGCAGCTTTTCATAGCTAGGGCTCTTAAGCCAGTGAGAACAAGTTTTCCAGATTGTTATATCATTCATTATATGGATGACATTCTCTGCATTGCATCCTCTATGGAGCAGTTGACAGCATGTTTTGAACTACTTAAAAAGCAGCTTGACTCAGGACTTTGCATTGCTCCAAATAAAATGCAAACCACCACACCGGTGCAGTCTTTGGGTGCTGTGGTAGATAGACAGTCTATCCAACCTCAAAAGGTTCAAATTAGAAGAGATCAAATTTCTACTCTAAATGATTTGCAAAAATTATTAGGGGACATCAATTGGTTGCATCCTACAGTGGGCATCCCTACATATGCCCTCAGTCATTTATTTGGTCTTTTGCGAGGAGCACTGCAGCTAAATAGCTCATGCACGCTGACTCCTCAGGCCAGTCAAGGATTAGATGTGGTAGAGCAACAAATACAA